AATTTACTTATCCACTACTAGTAATTTCTAAACAGTTTGGAGGAGCAGCAAATAGGAGACACTTGAACGTGGCAATTCAAAAATGTGCTGTCCGAGGCGGGGAGCCGGCTCTCCCGGGGCGAGTGGGACCAGCGGCCCGGGCACGGTTCACCACCCCGCGGGTGCCCCGATGGGTCCGCGAAGGGCCTACAAAGTGGTACCTGCAACTCTTGCATCGCTAAACCCTCAATTCCACTGCGTTAGTTCAAGCCTCCCGGAATCCCTGTGCTCTCTGGGAGACCCTGGGGCACGCTGTTTATATTCTAAACTATGAAATGTCCCAATGGCCAACAGAGCCTTCGTTGCACCGCTCCTTCCCGCCCTCTTCCTCCATCCCCAAGAGGGACACCTTCCAGTGCCTGAAGCATGATAAAAAAGGGACCAAAAATCGATACCGCCCGTGATTTCATCACAAGTTTGCGGAGTGCATGTCTTGGGCGGAACGGGGACCGCCACTAGGCAACCCCTGCCCCGGCGCGGCTCCCTCCCTACCCCCGAGCACCCTCGACTTGGAATTGTTTCTATTTATTCCTTACAGGCGGCTCAGCCGAGGGGCTGCCTCTCCCCCTTTTGGTGGCGACTCTCCCGAACGCGCTTTAATTTGTCCCGGGGACCGCGCTGGTGTATTTATTTATTGTCCGGCCCCCACACCTCCCGAGGGGAAAGCAAGGAGGGGAAGGGCCGGGAAAGGGGTTCTACAGCCTCCAGAGGCTTTTACCGGCCTGTGCCTTGATGAGGAGTAGGGGATGAGAAAAGGTACCAGGAGATGCCAGGGGACCTCGCACGCCGGGGGAGGAGCGGCTGAAGAGGGCTCAGCCCCTCAGCTTCTCTCTGCGGGGCCGGGTTACTGCTGGGGAGCACAGTGGGACCGCGGCATAGAAGGGAGCGGCGGGGCGGGGGGGCCGCTCCAGCATCACCGGCCGCCCGAGGCGCGCCGGGCCCAGGCAGTGCCCGTCAGGGCCCTGGATCCGCGTCCCGGCCCCTCAAAGCTTCTGTGCTTCGCCCAAGCGCGGTTCATGAAGGAAAACACCTTTTATCAGCACAGCCTGGCCTGAAAGTTCAGGGTTTATAACAGCTCTGACTGGAGCGACCTGGCTGAAACTGGGAGTAAACTTTCCAACAAGGCGTGACAATTTCTCCTGCGAGAAAACAAAGAGTTAGCAGTACCATCTACGTGTTTATAACGTGTGTTTATACGTGTGAACTTAGCAATGACGAAGAGCTTCAAAATGCAGGAGGCGTTTAGATCCCCCCTGCAGAATCGGGAGCATCCCTGGATGCTTTTGCATGCTGAATGTTAAAGCTGCGAAAACGCATGGTTGAAATAAATAAATAAAATTAAACAAAACAGCAACAGAAAGAAACGACCGCAGTGAAATTGCTCAGCAAGCTAACAAACAACAGCGCAGGTATTTGTCATCCAAGGAATGGAGCTATTCAGTGTCTCGTTGGCCAGCAGAGGTTAGATAACACGCCATTTAGTGCGTTTTCAAATCCAGCCGTTTAAATATGTCTGAGCAGAAATCTGTCCCTTCAGGAACCCTGTTTGGATTATTGCTAAAATACAGACAGAACGGCCTCTGGTTTGGGAGGATGGGGGGGGGGGAGCGGGATCCACGCCCAGGCCCGCCCGTGGGTGCCCGGCGGTGGGTGCCGGGGATGGTGCGGGTGGGTGAGGACCCCTCGCAAAAACCCACCCGGGATTTCGGGCCGGGGTGAAACGAGCGCGTCCTTATCATCACGTCCGTGTGAGCGGCGCGGGGAGGAAAGTGCCTACGTAAAAGGGAAGTAGCGCTCCGCGGCGTTGTGCGGTGCTATTAACTCCTGACGTGACCTTAAAAGCTGCCAAAAACCGCCCAGGGAAGGGACCCTGTGCCGGAGCCCCGCTCGCCAGCCACATTTCTCCATTAATCCCAACAAGCCCCGACGCTTCCATACGTGGATTTAATAAACGGCAAGACCGGTCCCACGGTAAAAATACGCACTTTGGAGACACTTCCAGGAATATATATATATAACACTACGGGGTTTTCCCCCTCTCGACTGCAAATCAACCAAATGTTCAAGACAAGACCTGATGCAAACCAACACAGCTAAAAAATAACAGTGACCTGAACAGGACGTGGTAGAGCACAAATGAACGACATTTTTCTTTCTTTTTTCTCTTTTTTTTTTTTTTTTTCCTCAAGCAAGTACATTTTTCAAACATTAACAGTGTGGAAAATAATAATTATAATAATAATAATAATAATAATAATGGTAATCATAATAATAGGCGATTCGAGCAGAGGAGCGAGGAGCCTCCCCAGACGCTTTAGAAACCGCAGCAGTTAGAATACAAATGCCATTTACCTTGTGATTTCTCTGCCCGGCACTGGCTTTATTGTCCCTCCCTAGCCTTTCTCCGGGCGCAGGACCAGCCCCGCCGCAGCCACGCTCCCTCCGTGCCGGGCTTATTACTAACGGGCTGGTGGTGCTCAGAGAGATTGGGGGGTAGGAGAGGGGAGGGGGGGGGGGGGGGGGCTGCATTCATTCTTACATTAGGACTATTTGAATTTGCAATCTGTCAGTCCATCTCCTGGCCGTGGCTCCCTTCCTCTCTCCCTGCACAGCGTTTACTCACGTTCAAGAGCAGCCAACAGAGACCAAAAAAGAAAAAAAGAAAAAAGGACTAATTGAGCTTGTGTCGGCATTGGCTAATTTCTGTTAATACCCTGCAAATTCCTCTTTTCCTAACCGTCCCCCATGCAGGCTGGGTTTTCACAGAGCATCTCCGGAGACCCAGGAGCTGCTCTCCCAGCCCTGCTCGCCGAGGTGATGGGTGCTGGGCTTCAGCGCCTCGATGCACACAATGCAACCCTTAACTCCTGCCTTCAGAACCGCTTAAATTGCCCTTTCCCAGCCCCCACCCCAGTTCTGATTGACTCTGGGTTTAAATTTGCACTTGTTCCCACCAAGCGCAATCTAACTCGTCCTGTCTCTAAAGTGAACTTGTGTTGAAGGTGAAGTTTTCAATATAGAGGTCATGACACCGAGCCACAGCTTACCGCTCCGAGCTTCATGCTGTATTAAACACAATCAAAACGAACCTCTTTTAGACTCCCTCTTTTTTTTTTTTCCTTTCCCCTCCCGCAGATGAACAATGAGGGGAAAAAAAAAATACAATAAAATCAGCTCTGCCACGATAATAAACCCGTTCCTCTTGCTCTGGGCTCGCTCTCTCCTAGGTCCCCACCTATGGAGAAGAGCCTATAGAGCCGCTTAGGGACACAAACACATACACACATACACCCGCAACACACGCACCCCGCGTTTCAGTTATGGCTCTTAAAGGGGCATCTGTGGGTCTGCCTCCGGGAAAAGCCCCCGAGGTGCGCCCACCCTCCGGCTCCACGCTTGGGGGCCGCTGCCCACGAAGGGGAAAGGACGCGGGGGAGCCCCGGACCCCTGGTCCCGCCTGTGCCTCCGCCGGGTAAGGGGGACCCGGCACAATCACGGCTCCTCCACTTCAAAGCGGGGGTTTTTCTCTATAGCGACTTCTAGCTGCCCCAAGACGGTAGGCTGCCTTCAGCCATTGTGCGATCTTTTCCATGCCAAAGATTTAGCAGAAAAAAAAATAGATATTAAAGGGAGTTATTTGTCGCGGAAATGCGGGTCCCGCCGGTGCGGAGGTTCCCGGGGGCAGAGGGATGGAGCGCCCGGTCCAAACCAGAAACTTTTTCTTTTTCTTTTTTTTTTTTTTCCTTAAAAAAACCCAAACTTTAATGGATTTCAGTCTATGAAAAATAAGTTACAAATTCTTGCAACAGTAGCTTTGCATGTACTTATTTTTCTCCCATGTCCAGACGGGGTCGTCTATTGAATAAGGCTCTTTTATTCTGCATGGGGCAGGGGATTTGTGGCCATGGTCCCCCTTTTATTCCTCTCTCTATGGAAACCCAGATCATGGGGAGAAATATGCGAGGCTGAATAAAGAAAAGCAGCAGAAAGGACCGCTTGAGAGCGGCATCTGTTACACTTGGGAAGTTAGACTGACAGGAAAGAGCTAAAGAAACCCTCTCCAGCAGATTACTTAGAACAGCAAGAAGATTTAACTATATGCAGATAAAAACACTATAAAATACACCATACAGGAGGGATGAGAGGCTCCGCTCTCAGGAGCGGAGTGCCGCGGAGCCAGGCTCTGCCTTAGACACATTCGCAACTAATATTAAAATGGGACGTTCGGGGTTTTATTTCCCTGCTAAGAGACTCCGTCTTAATTAAACGGCGGATCCGAACATCTATTTTCACGGGCAATGGGATTTGAAAAATGCTTTCGGAAGTTAAAGTGCAAATTAATTTTAAATAATTTAGTTACATTTTTATACGGTGCGCATTTTTGATTTTTATGTTATTTTTTTCTCTCCCACCCGCACCGGTGATATTTATTTCGAGAAGCTTGTAAAGGCGGAGGGCGGGGGGGGTGTGTGTGGGGGGGAGAATGGAAAGAAAGGGGAAGAAAAAAAAGAAAGAGGGCTGCTGATATAACTCTTTCTGTGCCCTCCCGCCTTCCGCGGGCGCGGTGCTGGCTACGCCGCTCCGCTCCCAGCCCTCGCCGCGGAGCTCTCCCGGGGACATTTTCCACCTCCCGCCCCCAATCCCCCCTCCTCCCGCTCCTCTTCGCTTCCCCTCTCCCGGCAAACTTTACTCTTTCATTTATTTTCCAAGTTGCCCCCGGGGCTGCGGCAGGCGCGGAGCTGCCGCGGGTGCGCAGCGCAGCGGCGGCCCCACCGCCTCCCCGATATATCGCGATCTGCCTCCAGCCACGCACCCCCTGCTCTTTGAGGGCCATCCCTGTCTTTGCCCCCTCTCGCACGCTGCGCCCTGCCCGAGCCCCGGCGAGAAATTATTGCGATTATTATTATTATAATGAGGAAAGCGACGCTACCCGGCTATAAAGGAATCAGAGAAGCGCTCACCTTATTTATATCTATTTTCTCATTTTCTTGAATTTTCTTCAGATCTGTCTTCTCAGAGAAACTAATGCCTTAATGACTTTCTGGTAGCTGCAAGCCTTCTTTTATTTCTGCTAAATATATGAAAATGTATGCAAATTTAAATCAAGCTTAACCTAGGAGCTCTTGCAATATATTTAATGGAATTTCAAACCAATAAGGGAACTCTGATGCAGTCTTCTGTAAGTGCAAATATAATTACGCAGCTAGGTTACCTCCAAAATTATGCAGGGAAAGGTCATTTTTTAGCTCGGGAGCGGGCCGGGGGTGCCAGGGCTCTGCCTCTCCCCGCCGCCGCGGAGGGTCCCGCTGCCGCCCCGGCGGGATTCCGCGAGTGCGGAACGGCGCTGGGGTTCTGCCCGCCGGGCCCGGGCGAGCCGGGGGGCACAGAGCTCCCCCCACCTACCCACCCCTCATCCCCCCTGGTGGGGCCTGGGGACCGCACGCGTTTCCCCCCCCCCCTTTATTTTCCACTTTCTCTCTGTTTGTTTTGGGGGATTTTTAATGTAATTTCCACACACACACCCCTTCCCCGCGGACCGCACTCCAGGCGCGCAGCGGCAGCGCACCGCGCCCGTGCGCTCCGTATTGCGAACTTTGAGGAGAGGCACCACCGGGGTTTACCGGAAAGAGCCTTTTGGGGCTGTTTTTATTATCTTTAGTGTGTGTGTGGGGGTTCCACCTAGTTGCTGCCTCTCCGACAGCACCTCGGAGCGCACAGCCCGGGGCAGGCGGGGGATGCGCGCAGCGGGGAGGTGGACGCGGGCACCGAGCACCGGACTGCGCAGCCCGCCCGGACCGATGGGCCAGGCAGGGCGGGGGGAAAGCAGCGAGAGTCCCGGAGGCGCGGCTGAGGCCGGCACCGGCTGCGCAGGGGTGGTCCCGCGGGGCTGCCGCCGGGGCGCCGCCGTTTAACCTCTGCCGCGCGCTCCCCCTGCGCTAATCGCTCCCCATTTAAGCCGTGCCCCGCGTCCTCCCCTCCCTTCCCCGCCCGGCGCGGAGCGGAGCGCGGCGCGGAAGGAGTTAAGCGGAGGGGGCCGCCTCGCGCCCGGCCCCCGGTGCCGGCGGAGTGATTCACTTCCTGCCTCGGGCCCGCGCGGCCCCCGGGCGCCCTCGCCCCGCCCCTTCGCCGCCGCGGCCGGCCTCCCCGCCTCTCCCATTGGCCCGTGCGGCGAGGCCCCGCCGGCGGCGCGGCCCCATTGGGCGGCGCTGCTGCCAGTCGGCGGTCGGCCGCTGCCCGGGCCGCCGTGCCGGTGGATGTCAAAGGCTGAAGCGGCGGCGCCGCCACAGTATAACTCGTGGGGGCTGCGCGGCGGCCATGGCCACAGCCGCCTCCAACCCCTACAGCCTGCTCGGCTCCGGCTCGCTCGCCCATGCGGACGGCGCGGGCATGCAGCAGGGGAGCCCCTTCCGCAACCCGCAGAAGCTGCTGCAGAGCGAGTACCTGCAGGGCGTCCCGGGCAATGGGCACCCGCTGGGGCATCACTGGGTGACCAGCCTCAGCGACAGCGGGCCCTGGCCCTCGGCGCTGGCCGGCGGCCCGCTGGAGCAGCCCGACGTGAAGCCGGGCCGCGAGGACCTGCAGCTGGGCGCCATCATCCACCACCGCTCGCCCCACGTCTCCCACCACTCGCCCCACGCCAACCACCCCAGCGCCTGGGGCGCCAGCCCGGCCCACAGCGCCTCGCTGGCCCCCCCCGCAGCCGCTGCCGCCGCCGCCGCCGGGCAGCCCCTCAACGTGTACTCGCAGGCGGGCTTCGCGGTGGGAGGCATGCTGGAGCACGGCGGGCTGACCCCGCCGCCCGCCGCCGCGCAGGGCTTGCACCCGGGGCTGCGGGGCGAGGGCGGCGGGGAGCACGGAGAGCTGGGCGGGCACCACTGCCAGGACCACTCGGACGAGGAGACGCCGACCTCGGATGAGCTGGAGCAGTTCGCCAAACAGTTCAAGCAGCGGCGCATCAAGCTGGGCTTCACCCAGGCCGACGTGGGGCTGGCCCTGGGGACCCTCTACGGGAACGTCTTCTCGCAGACCACCATCTGCCGCTTCGAGGCCCTGCAGCTCAGCTTCAAGAACATGTGCAAGCTGAAGCCGCTGCTGAACAAGTGGCTGGAGGAGGCCGACTCCTCCACCGGCAGCCCCACCAGCATCGACAAGATCGCGGCGCAGGGGAGGAAGAGGAAGAAGCGCACCTCCATCGAGGTGAGTGTCAAGGGCGTGCTGGAGACGCACTTTCTCAAGTGCCCCAAGCCGGCCGCCCAGGAGATCTCCTCGCTGGCAGACAGCCTGCAGCTGGAGAAAGAGGTGGTGCGGGTCTGGTTCTGCAACCGGCGGCAGAAGGAGAAGCGGATGACCCCGCCGGGCGAGCAGCCGCAGCACGACGTCTATTCCCACGGCGTGAAAACGGACACGGCCTGCCACGACCTCTGACCGGGGCTGTCCGGGCAGGCAGGACTGCGGGCAGCGCGGATTTTCCGCCGGGGCTTTAACTTATGGTTTCCGAGAGGCAGGAGACGCGGAGCGGGGGCTCCCCGCCCGCCGCCTGGGCAATATTTTTTCTCTCTCCGACCTTTCCGCTGATCAGTGCACGGTGTTTACTCGCAGACAAGGTTTGGTTTCGGTCACGACTAAGACGAACGGGGAAAAAAAACAAAAACAAAACACACATAAAACGGGGAAAAAAAAAAGGAAAAAAGAAAAAAAACTCATGGGAAAAAGGAAAAAAAAAAAGAAAACCGACAGAAAAGGAAAGACAGATGTGTGCCTATGAATAACCTTCCAGCGCCTTGGTTATATCAGCTGTATTTCAGGTGAATCTGTTTTACAATAGACTAGTTTTGCATTTTTAAAGACTTATATAGCGTTTTTAAATGTCTGAGGTGTTTTACTACAAACTGTACACAATATTTGTGACCTAATTTGTATCGAATTGAGCAGGCAAAACGTTTCTCCCTTCCCCACGCACCGGCAATGTCACCCAGTGGGGACGGGGCAGGGCGGCTGCGGCCCTTCCCCCTCACCACCACCACCCCCCCTCGAGGAATGGGGTTCCCCTCCGCGCCCGCGGAGACCCGCGCACCCCACTGCTGCCCGCGCTGTTCTGAAAAACGGGCTTATTTGTTGCAGCTTTTCTCTTCCTTTTCCAAGAGCTTCCCAACACCGTAAACCGGCCGGGTTCCGATCCTGACCTCTCCCCTCTTCTCCCAAGGAAAAGAAAAATAATAAAAGTAATTATTTAAAAGAGATTTATCCGAAATTAAGCACCGCAAACAAACCCGTGGCATTTGCCAGTCGCTTTCTTTCCGAAGATGAGTTGGGCTTTTTAATCAGCGCCAGACTGAGAGGTCTGTAGTAAAACACCTTTATACTCCTGCGCTTTGGCTTCGGAAATCGGTTTCTCTGTATTTTGTTTCGATAGTGAAGAGGAATGGGGGGGTGGGGGGTGGCTCATGATTTCTTTTTGGAGGGGAGAGGGACAGCAAACACCCGCATTTGGTTCACGCTGAGCTTATTTCCGCGTCACAGGGAGATGCTGGATTTGTTGAAAAGCTTTTATTAAGAAAAACAAAAACAAAACACCGCAACCACGAACAGGGAGGAAAAAACAAAACAAAGTCACTAAAATGCTACAACCACCGCAGTTTTTGGGCACGGGGAGGTGCTGACCTGGAGCTGCCCCCCCCCCCAGTTGTGTTGCACACAGGGCCGGACGCGCAGCGCCCACAGACCCACTCGCAAAGGGGTATTGCTGAGCGGGTGAGTGTGCGGGAGCGCACGGCCACGATAACCCACTGCTCCCGCAGCCTCCCCACGGCCGGGCTGGCTCGGGGCCGCCGGGTACGGACCGGGCCGGGCACCCCCCGGGTCCCCGCAAGACCCCCAGGGGCCCGGTGCGGCCCCGCTCTGCATCCGTCTCCCTCTCCGCGGCTCCCCGCACAGCCCCAATCCTTCCCCGGCGCTCAGATTTTTTCCTTTCAACATTTATATTTTTCAAGTATTTTTCAGTAAGCGCTAAAAAAGAAAAAAAGAAAAAAAAAAGATAAAAATTAAAAAAAAAAAAGAAAAAAATTAAAAACAAAGAGAAAAAAAAAACAAACTCGACACTGAGGACCTGCCTATTTCTGCCAACTTTATAACTGTACAGTTTTGTATATTAAACGTTTTTTGGAAGTTATTAATTTAAAGAAAGATCATTTAGTTTATTCATTTAGTAACTGATGTATAATAAACGCTATTTTCATTAAAGGTTGCTTTTTTCAACTATTTTATCCAAAATTGCCTATTGCAGTTGCCAACAATTATTTATTTTCAATAAATTCCGCATTATGTTAAAAAAGAAAAAAAAAAAAGAAAAGAAAAAAAAAAAAGACGTTTCAGAAAGCAAAAAGAAAAAGCCTGAATGGGTGTCGGAAAAAATAATAACGAAACACACGAGTCGCTTGTAACGTTTGATTGTCGAGAGGTTTTAGTCAAGGGGTTTATATTGACGCAATATTTTATTGTTGTAAAAGGAAAAAAAAATGAAAAAAGGTTTAAATAAACATTTTTACAAAAAAAAAAAAAAAAAGAAAAAAAAATAATTATACTGACCAGCTCCGCTGCGTGGTTTGTGCGCTGGGTGCGCGCAGCGGGGGCTGCACCCGGGCCCGGCCGCGCAGTGCGGCCGCGTTACACCTGCGCGGCCCCGCGGAAAATGCGCAGTTGGGGTGGGAAAGGCTTTTTCGGGGGTGGCGTATATATATACTGCATGTGTAAATATCTGTGTGTGTATATCAATATATATAGAAGGTACAGCAGCGCTGCCTCCCCGCCTCGCCCCAGCGCACCGCGGTACTACGCGCCCGCGCAGCCGCCGCCGCCCGGTTGTTGCCTCCCGCAGTTCCCGCGGCCTATGGGGCAGCGTCGGGGGGGTGTCCCCGTCCCCCCCAACCCGAGCTGCAGGAGGGGCGCGATGGAAGTTTCTTTTGTTCCGTCCTTCCTCCCCACTCCCAGCAGCAGAGGGGCCGCGGGTCCTGCTCCTGACCCCCCCCCCTACACAACATCCCCCCCGGGCTGCCTCCCGCTCCCCCCCCCCGCCCCGGGCGGGACGTGGAGTGTTCGGGAGGAACAATAACAGTTAATCACATCTAATGGGGTGAAGCGGGGAAGCTCCAGTGCCGGCAGCCGGGCAGGGCGCGGGGAGGAGGGGGGGGCTGCTGGGGAGAGGCAGGAAAACAGCAAACTTCAGGGCAGCACCAGCCAGAGGGGCTGTTATTTTCTCCTTTTCCCCGTTCTGAAGCGGAACCTTGGGGAAAACAATAACCAACCCTTCTGCCAACAGTGTACGGGAGGCAAGAATTACCTTTTGGAGTCCTGAGAAGCGACCCAAGAGCAGAGTGAGGTCTCTTGTCTCCATAACCCAGCAGCAGGAGGACGAGTGGACAGGCACTTTCCCACATGGCTGCAACCACCATAGCCCGGTACCTGTTAGTGAGAGGCGTTGGGATGTACGCAGTGGGCAATGCTTTATTTCTTAACCATAAAACTGATTTATTTCTTGTAAATCTTTGCAAGCTGCAGCACAGCGCCGACACCGTGGTCTTGGGGTGAGCGGCCTGCAGCTGCCCCTGTGCTGGGCAGTGAAGCCTGGCTGCCTCTGCAGCGGGACACCAACCTGCCCCTGCCTCAGAAAGGATGACAGCAGGAGAAGAAGAGAAACTCCCCCCAAATCCCATTTCTCAAGTCAACAGCAGAAACAAAACAAACGTGCAGCGAGTAGCGTGGGTACCAAACCAGGAGTAAATGGCCGCGGTTTGTAAATAGCCCCAGCCGAGGACACGGAGGAGAAGCTTCACAGTAAAACATGCCCTACGTGGTCATGCTGGCTCTGAACACGCAGGGTGTGGAGAGGTGAAGCCCTTAAAGGCAGCACTGGTCTGGAGGAAGGACAAAAGGTATTTCACTGAAATGAGCCTGTTTTAAAGCCCTGTGGCTGTTCTGTAAATACAACTACAGCAGGGGCTGGGTTATGCGTGATTTTAAAACAAATCATGTTAAGAGACAAAAGAAATGCAATGAGAGACGAAATCAAGTGAGTTTATGAACAGAAGTACTTCAAAGAATACTTGAAAGCTGGAAGAAAAATAGGGAAGGAAATTTCATTTAAAGAAAAGAAAATCTGTTTGTTATTGCCCATATATTCCAGTATTACTGTGAGCAAAAGGAAACTCTTTTGTGCCACCTAATGTTAAGTACCGATCACTGTTGTCTTCTTTGCTGCCCATCGTGCATGGAGAGGCCTCAGGGTGCTGAGTTAATCCAGGCAGAGCGGGGTGCCTGGGAATGCTCAGAGTCCAAAAGTCCAATGAAGCCAAGGGCAGGAAGAGAAACTTCAGCTTCACCGTCACGGATCAGGTTATCTTCTGAATTTAGGAAATTATCTAAAAAAAAAAGAACAAGAGGGGGTGGAAAGAAGCACGGGATATGATCATAAGAGCGAGAGACTCCAAATTTGGTCTTCGTTGTAATAAAATAAATCCAGAACGAGCATACCCAGGCTTTATGTAAGCTGCCCACGATCAAGCATTGATCTCAGCAGCCTCTTGCAAACCTCAGGGCTTTCAGCAGCTTCTCCCTCTGCTCTCCTCAAGGACCCAAGCAGCTTTGCACGTGCATGTCTCCCAGTACGAAGAATTTGTGGTGTGGACGTAGCAGCCGTTCACCCTAATGGGAGGTAATAATGTAGTATGGAAATACCTCACACGATCTTTTAACAATGAATTACACCATTTTTGTGATTTTAACCGAGTGTTAAACATCTTAAACAATTTTTGAGGCTGAATTTTCTTTGCTTTTTAAGTTGTATGGAAAGAAGAGAACCTGAGGCTTCCCTTCAAGTTTTAATTTCGAATATTCTCAACCTGAACTCTCTCTCTGAACTTTGCTCTCCTCCCCTCTAAAGACAACCAGGACCGTAGGAGGGGCTTCACTTGAAAGCAAAAATTACTACAAGTAAGCAGAGATGCTATTTCACTTTATAGCATTCTTTATCAGTCATTTGGAATACGGACCATTCAATCCATACCTAGACTGCACTTGACCAAGATGTATTCCAAATCCCTCAAAAATAAGTATTTTGAACTTTTTTTCTTTGTTTTTAAGCAGCAGTTTCATAGGTTCAGGCAGAGCGGACTAGAGCACCTTTCCCTATTGTTCCTGCATCCATGTACCACTGATTTTTAGGGTAGATCCACATGTGGAGGTCCATTTAAAATGTAAGTCCTTCCCCCAGGAGCCAGGGAGCATGCAGGGCCATGGGGATACCCTTTGGCCAAGGGTCTGACTCAAAAATCCAGCTACAATTCATCACTTCAATCACTAGAACAGCTTCCTTGTAATTCAGTGAACTGCTTCGTGCAAATGAAATTATTCATGTGTGTCTTTGCACAGTCTAATTCCAAGGCTCCATCCTATAAAAAATGTATATCCAATACTTTAGGCAGGTGACCAGTCCCAGTGAGTATTCTATAATATACTTGCAAAGATCAGGGCCTACATTTGTACTCACTTTCCATTTTTTCTAGTGTCCTGTAACCAATAGACTGGAAAGGCTCCACAGCAATTACATATTTAGGATATGTGATAGCTGCAGTTAAGATCTTTACAACTGATTGCAGGATAAAATTTACTTCAAATGTGCAAGAGCCCATTTCTAAGCCCCAGTATTTCAGCTGCTTTCCATTATATATATTCTGAAGAATCAAAAGCAATTAGAGCATACAAAGTCTAAATGGTAAATAATTTCCAAATCAAAATCTTTATTAAAGCATCTATTTTTGTTAGCGCTGTAAGATACGGAAGGGGCCCAACTAAATAACTTTTGGTTTAAATTCATCAAAAGAAAGCCAGACTTCTAATGCCCCAGATGGACTTTTTGTTGAGGTTTTAAGGTTTGGGAAAAGAGGGCAAGCAACAGGATTTAAAGGTGGTGATGTGAGTGGTGCCATGGTTTACACACGCTTGTGAAGGGTTTGCACGTGGATCTGTGGCTTGCTGATTCACAGCCTGCTACGCCAGCTTGTAAATGTTTGTAGAACCACATCCCTAATTAAAATGGCAAAACAGCATTAAATCTTGGACAGGGATAGAAAGAGGAGAGCGAGGAAGAGCTGTCATTGCTAAAAGCCTGTCAACAAGAAGTTAAAAAGCTAATGGCAAATATCATCTCTGCTGGCTCTGTTTTTGCGGTGCAATCGATCGCCGGGTCCTGGCTCTGCAGCGGCTCCTGATCAATGTTCTGCTGGCACAGGGCAGCGCTGAAACCACACCAAGGAGTCGGCTGCAGCGCAAGTGTGGTTTAAAATGTGGGTATTTCAAGCAGGGACTGAGAGGAGCTGGGCAGCAGCCCCTTTCTCACCCCTTGTACTATTAAAAACCTGAAAATGTGGCCCCATTATTCTGCTGCTGGGTTTTATTTTATTATTTTAAATGATGCCAGTCCTCGAGTTCTGCGCCTTGAGTACAAATAATATTTATTCAACGTAGAAACACCATTTCTGAACTGAAGTTGTTTTCCTTTTTGGCCAAAGCGTGACGTTTTGTTTTGCATATTTATCTTTGGCCTTTGGGAAGGAAAA